AGAGAGAGAAGAGAGAGAGGAGGAGAGAGAGAGAGAGAGGGGAGATTATTTTCTGCACATTTCTCTTTTGCATTTACCAAAGTGCATTTCCTTCAAGTTCTTAATTACAAGTTTTTGATATTTCATTTTTCTTTTTCTTTTGTAATTACTAAAATAAAATATCAAATAGGCTTAGGGAAGTTATAATTTACAATGACATCTGTTAAGGAATTTAAATTTTTGTTTTTAAAGCAAGATGAAACAGAAAAAAATTTCAGAAATTTGAAACATATAGCAGTTGTTTTGTGATAAAAAATGATCTAAAATGGAACATATTCAAAGACAAATTTCAATATATAAAATGAGGCTTAGGCTAATGTAACAGAAGACGACGAATATCTATTTAATAATTTAAGGCACATATTTCCATATTTGTAACTTTCCCTACGAACGATCCTATCATTCATCTTAAATTGTTTAAGGGTTAACTTTCAGAAATGGCTGCATTTTGGCAAATTGCAAATGCAAATTCTGGAACATTCTGGAACAATCCAGATTTTAGAATCATGAAACATTACGGTTATATGTTAAAGGAACCGAATAGTATATTGATTTTGAACAGTAATGGATTGACTGAGATAGTTTTAAATTTTAAGTTAATTAGACAGGATATTGTTTTCTTTTTTTTGTTTTGCATATTACATTGATACTAATTATAAGCTATTTCTATGCTCGGACTCATCATAATCTTATATCTATTCCATTATTGCGATTGATTAGATTGATAATTTATCAATTTACCATTGGACAAATTTTGAATTTTATTTGTTTCAAACTATTCCATCACAATTCTGACTGAGCAAAAATATGAGTTAGTTGAGAGAAATTTTGCAACTTTAGCAAAAGATATGTTAAGAGTGGATATCACTTTTTTGAGTGATAAACATAAAATAGATAAAATTCTAAGAAGCAATTTGAAGTGTTCCCTTTGAATTTCGAATATTTTTACAATGTAATTTAAAATATAGCGTAAGATTGGATAAAAGTATATTACATAGCATGATTTTCTATTTTATTATGTTTAAAAATTAAGACATTTCTATTCCTATTATTTTTATCTCTTTTATTTTTACACAAAATTTCGAAATGTATTTAGAATTTCAAAATAAAATTAAAATTAACGATAACAATTTTTCGTTGTTATAACAAAAATTAAAAAGTATTTTTGATTAAATAATTTTATTTGTTTCTTTTATTTCTTTTTCTGGAAAAATTAATTTGAAAGAATGTAAAATAATGCATCATGTTATTTGTTAAACATTCAAATTATTTCATTAAGCTATTTTTCATCTTTCAATTTAAACTGGACTTTTTAGTTTTTTATTTATTAACAAATTTAATTATGGTACAAATAAGCGATGCAACAACAATAAGAAATTGTAACACAAATATTTCTAAAATAATATTTCTCATCTACAAAATCAACTAATAATTTTACAGAAGTAAACAATTGAAAATTTCATCCTCAATCGAATTTTTTTAAGTAATTTTTCAAATTCATTATGTTTAATCGATTAGTTAAAAGTATTAAAAGGATTAGCTCTGAAATGACCCTTTTTAATTCTTTAAATGTTTTCTATTTTACCGTTGAAATATTATCATCATTCCTTATCTCAAACAATCAAATAATTGATGAATATGTTTTATGAATTTTTTTTAAAAAAAAAGCGAAAAGAAACTTTTAAGGTTCCGACAAAGGATACCAGCAATTTTTCACGTTTTTTAAAATTATAATTTCGACAACTGCTTGCTTAAAGTTTTTTTTATTTTACTTTTTTTTTGTATAAATTTAAAGAGCATTGCATTTAGCTATCTTTTTGCACTTTTTTACATTCTTTCATTCTATTACTTCAAGATAATAATATTGAAAATATGAAATAAAAATAGAATTTGTAATCTAAAAGATTAAAAGTTTCAATACAATAAATTCATTATTTTTATAATATTTAGAAAATATAAAACAATATGTCATCCAGTGCGTGACCTTCTCACGTGGACCAACTTGATACCGGTTGTATCTCTTCTGAAGCAATGATTTTTTAATTTTGCTATATTAAAAATAGAATTTAATTGGTTACAAAAATTGACGACAATCAAATTTCTCATTTCAATTTCATTCATTTGATTTCCAAGCAATTGAGAAGTAATTGTAAATAAAAAAATAGGTTGTAAGCATACAATTGGTGCCTTATAATTGTATTTGAAATTTAAAATTCGGTGAATTAAAAAAATTAATTAAATTTCGAAAAAGTGTGATATGAATTAGTCGTGTTGAAATTAGAAAGGAAATTACTCGAAAATAATTGCTATGGAGAGAGAAACTTTTTAAATTTTTTAAATTTACAAACATAAATTTTTGAATTTTTTTTTATGGAATTAAACAAAAGACAAGAATTGTTTAAATTCTTTATCTATTTTTACACTTTAAATTTCAACAGATGATAATTACAATAAATTTTCGTTTGAAATGTAAATTATCATCGAACAACACAGTAAAGATAAATTTTCTTTTCAAAATTGTCGTAATTTAAAAAAAATAAAATAAAATAAAAAAATAAAAATTACAAAGATAAATTATTACTTTACAACAATTCACATTTTTCTTTTACAATTACGAAGAGATAAGTTATTCAGCTCTTTTCTTCCTGTTTTTTTTTAACTTTATTCAAAAAATTTAAATGCTTCTTGAAATAATTGAATTCATTATGATTATTCAATCCAATAAAATTCATTTTTGTTTTCATCGTTATACTTGAAATTTTAGGACATTTATTATTAAATTCAATTATTTGCCACTTCCAGTTGTCCTTTTTCATTCGTTTTTTAATTGTTTTTTTATTTTAATATCTGAAAAACCAATTGTTAATAACAAATTTTAATTATAATGCATAACACAAATGATTCAACAGCATATTTGTATGCATTTAAAAAAAAATCCAAACGATTTCTGTCGTAAAATTCCGGCAGTTAACCAAAGGCAGTAAAATGCTCGCATTATTTTCGGCATTATTGTTGTTGATCTCAAGAGATAGTCCATTTGTTGGTGAGATATAGCCCTTTTATCCGTGCAGTATAGTCCATTTGTTGATATGATATCATTAAGTTGGAATTTTCTAACATATCGATAGCTTTATGAGTGGAAAATTTATCGTCCGAATATCATCAAATTATTAAAATGAATATTTTTGGAAATTCTAAAAGAGAAATGTTCATCAGTGCTTCAAATATGTATAAAATCGTATTCTCGATCTAAGCTTTTGCACCCTCAGCGAACAATTAACGATCAATGTTCCGCAGCGGCGGAAGAATAATGTAAGTATTGCGTTACGCATGGTCTAAGAGTAAATGCGTAATTTATGGAAATGATTTTAAGTTAAATATAATCACATTAATCAGTTTAGTGTTTCTTTATTGCGCAAGTAACTAAAATCCTTTGTGTGAATAGATGTAATCTGCAAAATTAGGTATCTCTCATCCTTTAAAAAAAAAGTTGTCAAGTTTTTTAATTTTTGAATATGAAGCATAAGGAATATAATATATTGTGTAATTTCTCTAAGTAAGACCATTTGCATGCAAAATTGTTTCGTTATCAAATACTTTTCAAATTACTTCATTTTTTTTTCTGTCAGATTTTATGATTGAAATTATCATACGTGAAGGATTTATTCATATTGTTATATCTCATAGAATACATTTCGTCGGAAGTGAATGAAAAAAGCAAAAATACAAAAGGCTGATAAGTTCGAGCGTTAACGCTATCTCTTATCATTTGTCTTTACAGTGATAATGTTCTAAAAGAACAAATTATAGTTTAATTTTAAGATTTGTTGCTTTTCTTTTTAATAATAATCATTATGGAAGTATTTTTTGTGGTATTCCTTGCATTACATGAATAATTTTCCCGCTTTTTCTTTTTTTTTTAGATTTCCGGTAACCTTAATTATGGATAATGGTATGATTATTTTAATTTAGGATTCGGGATAATCCCTTTTTTATGCAGAATTCCGGATTGTCCCATTTTAATGCAAAATTCTCTTAAATCTTGATCAATCTTTTAAGGCATAATTTCTCATTTAGTGTTTGTTTGAAAGTGTACGTATTTTCCGCGTACAGAATTAAAGAGATACTTATAGCTGCCTTGAAAGGATAAAGGAATCGGAAAATATCAGTAGGTAATGACTTCAGTACAACTTCAACAATTCAGGTTTTTTTTTTTTCAAAAAAGCTAACCTTACAGAATACATGAAATGCCGAGGTGTTAATATAACTTTTACTATCTTCCGGAAAAAAAAAAGATGAAGATAATAAGCGAACAGATAAGTATGTGTGCATACAAAAAATTTATTTATAAGCACAGCAAACAACTGTTTATTTGAATACACACATTACAGGAACAATTAAAAGGAAAAAAAATCAATGAACCGGAATACGTATTAGAAGGTAAGTAGGAAAACCGGATAATACGTTATCTTTCCGTTTATAAAATGACAGAAAAAAGAAATTGTTGTGACAGACTGAATTACACACTGAGAACATAACTTGTATTTGTTATGTGTTAACATTTTTTACATAATTTTAATTGATGTAAACTTAGACAGTGCAGTAGATAAAACGGAATTTAGGCCTAGAGAAATTGCTATGCACATTTGGTTTAGGCCCCAGGGACTGTCTTATTCACTTGAGTCTAGAAACTGCTAAGCTCATTTTAGTATAAATTCATAACTTATCCAAATGTTTTTTATGAAAAGATGGGAAATGAACATATAAACTTTTAACTTTTGTTTCCTCTCCCATTACTTTAATCATTTCTAAACTTTATTTTTGCAATTATCAATGATAATTTTTTTAGAAATTAATCCATGTTACCCTTTTTTTAAAGTTTGCAATTATTTTAATGAATTTAACTTTGCACCCAAAATTTATCCTTAAATATATAAAGCTGAGCTTAGCCTATTTGTATTAAATTTCAGTTGCAATTATAATTTTATTTTAGTGTTAAATTTGGCGAATTAAAAATTCAATATTTCCTCTCAATACGACCAAAATGAGTAAAAGATAAGAATTTAATTTCAAATGAAATTTGAAATTAAATCAAAGAAATTTAAAAGATTAAAAGCGGAAAAACATTGCCATTTTTATTGCCAAATATTTCGCATTACTATTCTAATTTGATCGCTTTTTTTTGTCAAGTTCATTTAATTAAATTTACTTCCATTCGATGCATTTAATTTCAATTTTATTCATCCTTCGTTTCGGCCCATTTAATTTCAATTTAAAATGTTTTTTTTTTTCCCACAGTGCACATTTATACCATTCAACTTTGATTAATATTACTATTTTTAGGCTATTTCAGGCTATTTAACTTGCATTTTTAAATTTTATAATTGTTTGGTCGCCTAAATTAGTTGTACATATGGTATCCACCTATTTGATTTCGATTCATTTCTAGTATTTAAATTCATCTGCAATTAAACAATTATCAAATAATCATTATCAAAATTATTTTTGATGAAATGAATAAATTGAATAAAAAAACAACGTCTATAATTATAATTCTTCAATTGTTTTTTTTTTCTGCTACACTTTATTCAATTATTGTTGTTTTAGATTAATTTTTATGAATTACTCATTTGAATAGATGTTTGTTGCTTATCTGAATAAAATTTAAATTAATTCAGTTTTATTATTAATATTATTAATTGCTAATTAATTAGGTAAAAAGTAAAAGTGCCGAAATCATTTAGTGTTGAAGGATGAAATATGCCAAATTATTTGTATTTTTAATTTACTTTTTACAGTAACATTAATGGCAGTTTTATTTTACAAAACAAATAGAACGTCAAAAATTTTCCTTTTTATTACCAAAAATTTCATATCTGAAAGAAGGGAAAAAATGGAAAGAGAGAGAGTAGAAGAAAAAAAGAGAGGGAGAGAAAAGAGGGAGGGAAAGATCGTATGGGTTGATTAATAAGAAGAGCAATCTAAACAGGTAATCTTTAAACTGAATAAAATTATTCATTATTATTACTTTGTCAAAAAAAAAAATCCATATCATTCTTATCACCTTCTAAACAACACTGATAATATAGCAAGAATTGATTCATTCGAGAATCACAACAATGAAATTTAAAATTTTTAAAATAATGAATTGGGAAAAAAATTTGACTCGAAATTAAAAACTTGTTTGTTGGTTAAAAATTTCAATTTTTTTGCCTGGAATAAAAGTTGCTGTCGCAATGTTTTATATAGAATATCTCATTTTTTTTGACGACATTTCTGGAATCTTCCATAGACAATATTTTCTGGAATTCTCCATGGAAGATATTCCGGAATTTTCCACTGAATATATTTTCTGGGATTTTTTGTGATGGTATTCCGGAATTTGCCGTAGAAGATAGTAATAGTTTTCCAATTAATTATGATAGCTTATGCCTTGAATCAACTTAACAAATGTTTACTTCGCATATTTAAAAAAAAAAAAGTGAAAAGTATGTATTGGATAAGTTATGCATATTCTTACCGTACTTCTCATTTTATCGTTCATCATGGTGTTTTTATCAAAAGAAATGCTTATCATTTTTATCATCTTTTAAGTAGCACTGATTGTATAACATGGATTAATCCACTCGGGAATTATTCAGGGATTGCAACAATAAAGTTGGAAAATTTTTTTTAAAAAAACAAATTGAAGCAAAAATTAGATTTCAAATTACAAACTTGTTTTTTCTTTTTGTTAAAAATTTCAATTTTTGTTTCATGTTAGATTTGCTTTTATGATAATTTCAAGAGGATGCGTCATTTTTTACGAACTGAAATTTAGCAATTCTCATATTATCATGAAATTCCACCGGAAAATTTGAAAATTTTATCGGATTATTTTTCATTTTGCACAAAATTTATCCATAATTTTAAAAGCTTCCATTATTTTTCACAAGGGAATGTTAATTAATTTTTTCTAACCTTCATGAATTTGCAACGATGTATTTATGCTTGGCAACGAATGATTTACTTGTTTATCATTGTTTATCATTTGGAGCTTAATTTTAAAGCCGCTTATCAATTGAAGCATAAACTTATAAAGTTTCTTTACAGTTTAAATTATCTTTTGTTAAAACATTTATATTTGTAATGAAACAAGTGGATGAGTGATAATATGGTGTTAAAAAATGTGATAAAATTAGTTTGTATAAATAAATACATTCAATGAAGTTTGAAATTGAATGAGTTCAAGATAAAAAAAAGGAAAAAACAACTCAAAATAGAATAATCTAATAAATGCATTCAACGAAGTTTGAAATCGAATAACTTCAAGTTAAAAAGAAAACCAGTCAAAATAGAATAATCTAATTAAAAAAAAAATTCAGCGAAATTTGAAATTAAATAAGTTCAAGTTTAAAAAATAGCTCGGAATAATATAATTCAATGAAAGTATAATTTCAAAAAATTCCGAAATACAGTAATTCAAACTTTAAAAAAAATGAATAAAATTTGAGAAGAAAGACTTGAAATTGCTCCAAAAGTTCTTCCTTATTATGAAAATTTCCTAAACTTTTCTTATTTTTTTAATTTGAAAGTATTTTCACTCTCATTATTTATCCATATGAATTTACTAAATTACTCAGCTGTTTTTTTTCACTAAATTATAGCTTTTTTCCTTTTATTATTTTTTTGCTAAATTTATTAAATTACTGCGAAATCGTTTAGCTAAGTAAACCTTTACATAAAATAAGAAAATGGATTGGAAATTTTTTTAAGCAATAAATTTTAATAACTTGTCATTCTTTTTTCAACTGATAATAGAGTTGTCATCAATTTCACTATTATTGTGACACTAAGCTTTTTCACAAAATTATTCTATAGTGTTAAGCTAAGCAATCACTAATAATTAAATAACTTTGGTGATAATCATAATTAAGATTTGTTGGAAAATTTTCTATCCCCAAAAGAAGTAAACAAAATGAATTCGAACCTTTGTAACAGAATAATCTTTCGATATTTATGAGGAAAAAAAATTTCGAATAATATTTTAGAATAAGATTGAATTTACTTTTGATTTTGTTTGAATTTTAAAAATAGAAGAAAAAAGTTCAAAGTTAGAAGGAAAAGGACAGGAACGATTCATAATAATGAAATTATTAATAATAAAAAGGTTGGATGGGAAGAAAGTATAATACCTAAAATTGAATTTTGCGATGACATTTTCTTGCCAAATAATATGGCTTAGCTCATATTTTATGCATTACTGCTTAATTTTCTCGGAGCATTTTTGGCTAATTTAATGTCTATCTCAAGTCCAATTCAAGTATATTAATTATTTCAAATTATCACTATAGTTTTAGGATTTTTCTTGAGTTATCAGTTGTTATGATTTTCGAATGATATGAGTTATTGCATGCTCTTATTGTAATAAAGTTTATAAAAAATATTATCACTTTGTATGTTTAGAGTATTTTTGTCTAATATTAAGAAAGTATTATCAATCAAGCATTTTCTTCAATCATATAATTATGCCAATTAGCTCACCGGATCCGGTTTACTTGCTTATCGAAAACACTCGAGAGATATATTGCATTGTTTTACAATAATTCTTGAAATGCTCCAAATAAGCATTGTTATTACAAAGCTAAAATATGCCAGTTTTTATAATTTCTAATTATATATAACAAATGAAGTTTCTGTTATCGTTATCATATCATAGATAATGAATGTTTATCAATGATAAAAACTGAATCAAATAGAAATGAATTAAAAGATCATAAGAGAAAATAAAAGTGTCACCTATTTACCATTCATTTTTATTCCATCTAAGTGAAAAGCTTTCAATTTTTTTTCTTTAATAATTCATTGTTTTATTTAAATGAAAAATTTTTCATGCATAATAAGCCAAAGTTTTGTGCTTTTCATAGAATCAAAAAAAAAAAAGTAATTTGCTAAAATATATACTAAAAAGTAAAGGTGAAATAAAGTGGAAAATTTGCCCGGTTCCATTTATTTGTAATAACATCCAAATGACATTTATTTTATGAGTGTACCACTTCCAGAAACCAGGACATTAATTCAAGTTCAAATTTCAATTCCTTTATTTCAATGATATTTTTTTAATTATCATATTACTTTTTCTTTCCTTGTTTTCCTCTAAGTGTTTCAATAAATTTTGCTTTTGAAAAAAAGGATTGATATTTCAATTTGAAATTTTTTATTATTTTAATGATTTTCTTTATGATTATAAGGAAAAAAACTATTTCATTGTTTTCATTACTTGTTTGATTAAATAATTTGTCCATTCATCGAAATGAATAGAAATGAATAGACTATTCAGATTAATTACTTATCTTAAAGAGTTCATTTGTGCCTATTACTTAAAACAATATACAATATTAGCTTGGCTACCTTAGCTTAATTGAAGTTAGAATTTCATAAAACAAAGTAAGAAGAAAAATGTTTTGCAAAATATTACAGGATAAAAAATTAACCTTTATTTATTTTGGCCAAGGATTTGCAGTTATCTTGAGATGAAATCAATTAATAAGTAATTAACAGATTTTATTCGTAAGAGCCTATTCATAAGACTCTTATTCGTGAGAGATATTAATTACTTTTTAACCAAAAATTTGTTTCGTGTCTTATGGTACACTAGTATCAATCTTCCAATTTGACATAAGTTACTGTATTTATTTTATTGTCAAAATATCATAACCTAATTATTTACCTTATTAATGATCTTATCTTATCAAATGATTTGATGATTTTATCAGTGATCTTATCTTATGTTGTCACGTAAATTTTTTCTGTTTTTTTATCGTTTTTTTCTTTTTTTTTGATTTTCAGCTGTTTTCAAAAATTATTGTGCCGTAAAAATCATTGGCATATGACAATGTGTTATGCAACGTATAACGCTACCGTAATCTTACGCTATTCACTACTATTTATACTATCAATCTTTTACGCATGATATTCTGTTATCAGCAAATCTTATTGTTTATGTAACCGAAACAAATTTACAACAATAACAATATTATTTTATCAATAAATACCGTATTCTCGTTTCTTTTTCTTTTTTAACCGGTTAATAACAATAACTTTGAAATAAATATAATCGAAAGGGATAATGTCAGCAATAAATTCATCCCATCCAAAAAAAAATCATCATCAACATCAACATCATCAACATCATTATCAACATTGTCATCATCGTCATCGTCTTCATACGATGTCACGATTACAACGTCAAGTATCCAATGCTCTCTTCATGACAGCATCTTCACGATCTACCATCCAACAAGCACAATCTCATTCAAGATCGTCGTCACAAATTTATCCAGCAACAGATCGATCTGATAACGATAATGATAACAATGATTATCAACCAAACAATAATGATAATCTTTCATATCAACAGTGGTTAGTAAATGTTTCATTGTAGTTTTTTTTTTTTTTATTTTATTTCTTCGATGATTATTTTTATCACAGCTTTTAGCCATCTGTTTCAATTTTATACAAAATTTCTGCCAAAACTGAGGACATTATTGAAGTAAAATGAATTTTTCATCTTTTTTTCTTTTGATTTAACAAAAATTACAATTTTTTGTTTTTTTTCTTTCAATATTAAAGGTTTTTTCTTTTTTTTAATATAATGAATAGCTTTTGTTCTTCTTTGTTATGATATTATCAAACAATCGAAGTTAACAGTACCAATAAATTGTTCTTTGAAATTTGATATAAATAAATTTACTTGTCCCATTGGAATTTTTAATGATAATCATAGATGATAATGATAATATCACCAATATATACATATGTAACTTTCTTTTTTCATCTATTTTACTATAGGCAGTTTTTTGGAATTTGAGTACTTATTGATTTTGTAAATGATATAAGATTTTCTTATTGATTTGATAGATGATATGAGAATTCTATGGAAATAAGCGAGAATTATTTTGGCTTTTATTTCTAAATGTACTAATAAATATAAGTATTTATTTTTTTACTTAAAAAATTTGATATTATTCTTTTTATTATATCTTTTTGTTGCTATAATTGACAAAATTATCAGTGATAATTTTTTAATTTCGACATAAGTTAACGGATAATTTTATTAATTATTTTTTGTCAAAATTTCAATTCATTTGAAGTATATCACTAAATTTTTTTTGCTTATTCTTTCACTTCAAATATTATTTTTCAGAATTACACCAAAAAAATGATTAAATAATTTGTAAGAGTCATAGGATAAACATTAGCTACTGTAAGTTATACTTTGATTGACCACAATTTTGACAAGTTATGCATAAACATTTTCAAATTCATTCATTTCAATAAAAATATTAAGATTTATTTTATTATTGCATTTCAAATTATCAACGAAATAAAATTACATTTTCATAAAATTTGGTACATTTTAATCAAATGAAAAAATTGTAAATGTTCGTTGTCATATAATTTATCTCATAACTTCATTTGCGAAGTCTAACAACTATAACGACAACTTGAAAAATATTAATGAAGAAGGTTGTCAAATTATAAATCAAAGAACTGCATATACAGTACAAGTAATTGGGTACCTACAGTACTTGATGTATTAGTAAATTATTGTATATTATTACTGTATTATTATTATATTAATATTATTAGTATATTAGTATGTTAGTTTATTAGTATATATTAGTGTATTAGTGTGCCTAAGTACTCACAGTGTTTATGCATTTATGTACTGTAGAATACTTATGTATTTATGTACTGTGTAGTACTCATATACAATGCTTACAAGTATAGTACTTGTGGACTAATAAGATTTAGTAGTAATTTTCTGCTTCCAAAAAAAATTTTGTGATACTACTTTTTCGACAAAAAAAAAATCAATTTGTATCAAGCAAAAAAAAGAAAATAAAAATAATAAAAAATACTTTTTAGTCGAAATTTAATTCATTTCTTTTTATTTTATTTTCCATTATTCGTCTTACTATCAGTGATATTGATTGTCACGTTTCACTTGACACAATTTTAAGGATTAAGTATCATTTCATGTTTCAGTGCATTATAGCTATCATTTCAATGCAACACATTTGTCAAAGAAGACTTTTTTTTTTTTAGAAAATGAATTGAAAACTATTTCAGTCTCTTTTTTTCCCCATTCTTATACAACTATACATTTTATGACATAGCATTTTTGTTTACTAATCGATTGTCTCGTTTCATTTGATACAATTTTAGGGATTAAGTATCATTTCATTTCAAATTATGACTCATTTTTTAATAAATAGCAATAACTGATTGGATAATTTCTGTTTATTAATTTAAACTGAAAATAAAATTAATTGAAATTTTGTCTTTAATTTTTGTTATTTTTTTCAGTTTCGAATTATAATTTATTCTTAATAATTGAATGAATAATTTGCAGCGAATATATGGAAACATCAGAATCAGGAAATGGTGATTATTCGAGTAGTTGTATGAAATATATTGAACCACCAAAGTTACCATGCAAATATAAAAGACCATTTGATGAGTTATATTATCAATCATATTTTGATAATCATCCAATACCGTATGATTATCAATCGGATGATAATATTGATGGAAGTAATCATGTGGTTATTAGAAAAATTCGCAATTTCTCAGAAAATACCACAGCACATGGTGTCCGACGAATATTTATTGCTAGAAATGCATATACTGCACGATTATGGTTATTTGGAATTATCTTGTGCTTTATCATACTTATTGTACAAGCTTATCAATTAGTGATGAAATTTAATCGTCATGAAAAAATTACTAGTATTGAGGTAAGTGAAATACTGTATGATTCGATACAGTAACATTTCGACACAGTAACATCTATCCTACCTTCATTTTCTTTTTTGCAAACATTATTTTATTTTCATTTTTTAGTTATTTCTTCAAAATGAAAGCAAAAATTTATTTTAGCTTAAATTTGATTATATACAATTTCCTGCTGTAACATTTTGTAATTTGAATCCCTATAAAAAAAGTTTGGTTCGATCAGTACCATCTGTCAAGGATACGGTTAGTTAATTAATAATTAATTATTTAAGGCGCATAAAGCTGCAAATGAGCTTTATGCTTAGCTATCAGAAATAACAGAAAGCAAAGTATAAGTTTGAAAAAAATTCGATCGTTTCACGTAATTTTTTATATTTGATAAATTTCCCGTTAAAATGGTAAAACATATTAACTTACAATATATTAAACTTCCAATTTTTTGATTCAAAAATTTAAATTAAAGTTTTGAGATAAATTGTGCATATTGCTAAAAATATAAAGAAGTAACTAACACTTTTTTTTTGGGGAAAAAAAATCGATAATATTTCATTTTTGTTATTTCTGAAATTTTTTTCTGTTTTCTTTTTTAGTCCTAATTAAGGTACTTTTACGACAACAATTTTGTTACACCTAACACGTCATTTTTACATTTTTAAACTTAATGACTGGAATCAATCAATAATATTATTTATTTTTATCTTAATAAATTGAGGTCCATTTTCCTAATTGTCAAGTAAAAGTATAAATGAAATTTATATATACAGCGATGTTAAAATAAATAGTAAATAAGTTATACAATTTGGGATTACTCATTCAATTATAATAATTCATATTTGTTTAAAATGAAAATAAAACTCTTAGTTCTAAATTGAGTTTATTTTTTTGTTATAAATTTCAATTCCTACATCGACAATAGTTTTTTTTTTAAATATAAATTGTTGTTTGGTAAAATTTCAAAAACGAACTTAATATTTTAATCAATTAGTTGCTAAAAAAAAGAAAAAAAAGCGATATCCCTTAGAGAAAATAAAAGAAAAACAAAATCAAAAGTTAATTGATCCATGAAACTAATCTTTGATCTAACAAATAATTTTTCTTATTGATTGTATAAAATTTTAAATAATTTACAGATGGATGTTTATGAAAATGCGAAATCTTTTCGCCGAGATAAAAGTCGCATAAAGCAACAATTACCAATTGGTATCATTCATAGACAATCCAATAAGCAAAAGGGACGTTTGTCACATTTGTTTGATAACAAAATGACAAATGATTTAAATATAAATTATTTGGAAAATGTAAAACGACGACAACGACATCTTCAAAATGATTTATTCAAAAGTAATAATCATATCAATACAATTAGTCAATCAAATATAAATCATGAAAGTGCAAATGAAATTAATGATGAAATATTTCCAACATCTAATATCCATTTCGTTACCGACACTGCTACTACTACCATTACTATTACAACAACTACTGATACTACAACAATAACTATTGATACTGCTACGACAAGCAGTACTACTATTGCCAATACATTAACGTCTATTGATGACATTGAAACAATTGTAGATGTAAATAATGAAACTGCAACAATAATAAGGAGCAAGCGGATGGTAAGTTATTCAAATTTAATTAACTTCTTTTCCTTAAAGATGGTAAGTTATTCAATTTTAATTATTAAGGATGGTAAATTATTCAAATTTAATTACCTTTTTTCCTTTAATTTGTAGTTTAGCAAATTTGAAAAAAGCTATTGTGGTAATGATTTCAACATTTATTGATAATCACTTTACCCCTAATTTGTTTCTAATAATTAATATGATTTTTTAATTTTTCACGGAATATATTATACTTGAAAAGAATGTAATAATTATAAGTGAAACAGGATATAATAATTAAAATCCTTTTGATAGCTTCAAAAGAAATTCATCACAATTAAAAAACTTTAGTTAAAAGATTTTTTTTAGAAATTTTTGAAACACTTGATTTTTTTTAAAACAATTTTTAAAAGATTTTAAAAAATATTTTTAGAATATTTTTAAAACATCAATAAATTGCTACAAAATATATGATTTTTTTTTGTTCATCCCACCTTTGTTTTTTTATTTTTTTAATATTGCTACTGTTTGTTCCAATTCTTACAATCTTTTAACTTAAGTAAAAAAAAAATTAAGTATTAAGTATTACATTTCAAATCTTAAAAAAAAAATTAAGTATTACATTTCATTTAATTTGCATTACTTCCTATTTTATTATTTATTCGATATTAATTAACTCAGCAACTAATTATGCTAATAACTTATTCAGTACTGTATAACTATCAATAAAATTGTAATATTATATAGCAAAAAAAAAAGAAACAAATGTAATTCAAAATTTAATCATTTATGTTGAATATTGAGGTAGAGACAATGCGATATGAAGCAATTGAAGCACATTGTAAATGTATTGGTAAACCGGATATGGAATGTATCCGGTTTGAATCAATTCCACCATCACTTGATAAGAGATGCATTTGTACATATGATAATGAAATGGATATTGCATGGCCATGTTTCAATATATCGTTAGTATTTTTAAACTACTCTTTATTGAATAATTAATTACAGATACAGATAAAATCTATCGATATTTTGGATTATTTAAATTTAATTAATTTAATTTTGTTTTTTTGTTTAAATCGTAGTTCAAAAATTATTGATTAGACTGAATGTAGTATTGTTTTTAGAATATGGTACCAAGAAGAATGTCATGTGTGCTTTGAAACTGGTTTCTGTGAGCCAAAAGAAGATGATCAAATTCCAAGTGCTAATTGGCCTTGCTTGTGCCGTAATCTTACCATTAATTCAGTAAGCTTTGATTTTTAAATATTACTCATTCCAACTTTTTTTTTCAAATTCATAAATTTTAAGTTTAAACTAAATGTGCTAATCGCCTACTATCGTTTAATTAATGTAATTAATTAGAATGTCCGATCATATGACACTTTTTTAACATTTAATTAACTGTGCATTTCTAAATAATTAAGTGAAAAATAGCCAAAAGCATATAATTTATGGTACCCAATTTTGCAAGAATGATGAAGCAAAAAATTCTGTCACAAATTCTTGGAATAGAATTACTTTAAATCATACTAGGAAGAAATTCTCAGGTGTACTGTTACCTGGTATTGATTAGTACCATTATGGATTCATTTTTGAATCGATCAGTTATCGTCTCTTTTCGATATTTTACCACTCTAATTTAAACAATATGCTAATTGTTTTATCTGTAGCTATACAATATGCTAATTGCTCTATCTATAGCTATTGCTTAATTTCTGGAAAGCAATTCCGGAATGATAAGGAAATCTTTATTCACGTCCTGTTATTCAAAAGAAACATTTTTTTTTGTTTTTGCCGGCACTAATACTTTTTTTCCTTTAAAAATTTTCTTTTGAAACTGCAGACATTTAACAATTATTATCTAAAGCATGTCTATAACTCCCTCTTTCTTTTTTTCTCTCTCTCTTTCTCTTTCTTTTGTTATCAATTTTTTTTTTAGTAATTTTGAATTAACAGTTCTATTCACATCTTTTTTATATCCCGTAATTATCTTCATTCTCGAAAGCATATAAGTATGGGATAAATGAGTTCATTCATTGATAACACTGATAAAAGCAAAAGATAAGGAAGCACTTGAAAAGATGTTTGTAGAAAAATCTATAATTATTGAAAAGATGAAAAATTCATCATTAATATTAATTAAAGCATCATTTCTAATATTTGAAAAATTTGATCAATCACATTGCAATATCATTTCAAATATTTAAGGAATATGTTGCAAGTTTGGAAGATATTAATTAGCTTTTCCTAGCATATAAAATTCATTTTGTTAAATTCAAAAAATGAGTTAAAAAATGCATGTATGGTAGTTTTTTTTTTAAAAAAGAAATATATTCTATTTTTAAAAAATTGCAAAGGAAAGGAAATTACAAAGTAGAATCATTATTAATGATATTGTTAAACTTAGCAATAATTCAAATTTTATAATTATTAGAATAATAATTCGATTATTTCGATCAAATAGCTAAAAGTAGAATAATTGATTCCATATGGCAAAAAGCATCAAACCCAGAAATTAAAGTGTAGTTTTTTCATTTTTTTTTTCTGCATAGAAATTTTAAATTAAAAAAAGTTCTATTAGAATCGATCTATTTGAAGTGTCCTCATATCACCATGGAATACTTTTTAAAGTTAATCATTTGATCTTTTCTGGATTAAAATTATTTCTGCTTGAAATCTAACAAAATTCAAAAATCCTGTTTTTCGTTAATGTTAACGATTTCTTTCTTTATTTTTTTCCTTTTTTTGTTTTGCTAAATGAATAATCACATTAACCATTATGTAAATTATATTTTTTCTTAAAAACAAAACAAAAAAAAAATCCGGCATGGATAACTTTTCCGGAAAATTGGATAATCAAGGAATATCATTTCTGCTTGCTGATATTTTTGTTACGGGAAATGATAAAGTAAGAAAGCTTAATTTTACAAATTTTACTTCCAATACTTTACTGTAAATATAATCAAATATAATTAAATAGCCAAAATAATATTTCGTACTCTTTTTCTTGTTACTAAAATATTGAGAAAAAGGAAAAGTTCAAAAAATAAGGTAAATAAATTTTGAATAGGTTAATTTATAATAGGAATTGTGTATATGTTAAAGTTATTAAATTAAACTTTTCACACGATCAAAGACTAAAGATTAGAGGTCGAATAATTTCTTCTTTTAAGCTTTTTGCTTTGTAAATGAATTAATATGTAAAAAAAAAAAAAATTAAAAGTTGAATTTTTCAAACAATGACAACTTTATTGTTTACCTGTTGAAGTATACTGATAATTAGCTAAGATTAAAATGAATTCTATGTAAACTTGGTTAGTTATATATTAGCCCAACTTCATTCTCCTCAAGAAACCGCACTGTATTCGAACAATTAACGATGTCAAGCAATTGTGGGCTACAAAACTTTATTCAACAACAATAACCAAAAACCAACAACAACAACAACAACAACGACAACACCGCCAAAACAATCAGCACGTGTCACTGCACCAGAAACTGTTAAAGCAATGGGTTTTACGGTAAGATTGCTTAATTCATTAGCATTTTTCCGGATCATTAATTTTTTATTAAGAATCATTAGGATTATCTACTAAATTCCGCACTATTTCCTAAATTACTGATTATCCGGATTGTAATAATGTTACAAAAATGAAAATGAGACAAAAAAAATTTGTTATGATCGAAAATTAAAATATCACATAGTAATCGATATCATTTATTTTAATTAAAACTTCTGGAACTTCTGAAATGTCCTTATCAGTTATGTGAATAAGTCTATTTCATGATATGGTGATAATGAATAAAATGAACAATACTTGTTCATTGAAAATATAATTATATCTTTTTGATGGGAAATATTAATGAAATAATTAGCTTCAGTAATTTCTATAATACTATACGATTTTTCATATCATGAATTTTAATTAAAGGGTATGACAGATGGCGTAGCAATGTTGACACGTGCTAAGGAAAATTTAATTTTTACGATGAGTGCATTATCGGAAATGCAACGAATTGCTTTATCACAATCTAAACGAGAATTCATTCAAATGTGTTCATTCAATGGAAAGGAATGTGATATTAGTAATATTTACTTAATAACTTTATTCTTGGAAAATTTTGTTGAAATTTATAAAATTGAAATTTATTTTTAAATATTAAACTAACAAGTGTCAATCTTTGTTCGTTTTTTTTTCCGCTCTGGTTTTTAAGGTAAAAGTATTAAATGGTATGGATGTAAGTCAAGAAAACCGGACCGGATAGAGAATATGACCGTAAGCTAAGAAAACCTGATAACAAGAATAAAATTATAGATGCTGACTTTAAATTACATGTTGATCCAGCATTCGGAAATTGTTATACATTCAATTGGGATATAAATAATAATTATTCAAGCAGTAAAGCTGGCCCAATGTATGGTTAGTAATAACTATTCTGTTACATCAATACATTGATATAAAATTATTTAATTGGATTGGACTAATTAGGAAAATTAGGAAAGAATGTATTAATTAGAAAAAACGAACGTTTTAGTACAATTGATACTTAAATAGCTTACCATTATGGTATAAAATTAATTCAGATTCAATTCAAATAAAATTATTTCAACAATACGATTGCAATGATTAACCTTTGATAGTAAGTAACTTTTTAATTTTTAAATGAATTTTTTCATTTCCTTTTAATTACAGGAATTCGATTACTCTTATTTGTTAATACGTCTGATTATATGGCAACATCCGAAGCTTCTGGAATACGATTAGCAGTACATAGTCCAACGGATTTTCCATTTCCGGATACATTTGGTTATAGTGCACCTGTTGGTTTTGCTTCTTCATTTGGCCTGAAAAAGGTGAATGGTTCATTTTTTTTTTTTGAAATTTAATTTTCATGTTGAAATTTCGGCATTCAATAGATTGATGATTAAAATCTGAAAAGTCTTTTATTTCTTTTAAATTTCTTCTTAAAAAATTTTCAATTTCTCTCGTTGTATTTATAATAAAATGTCGTTTTAATTAAATAATAATTCTAACAAAACAATAAAATAACTTATAAAAAACAAAAATAATTTATGATAAAATAAATAATAAAATGAAATCTCTTTTTGTTTTAATAAAATAACAATTTTCTAGCATGTCGTCAAAAGATTATCCGCACCATATGGTGATTGTCAACGAGAAAAGAAAATGAATTCAAGTTTTTACATTTATGGCGATTACGATTATAATCCAGAAGTAAGCTATTTCTTAAATTATCGATTTCATCATAAGAAACACTTTATTAGGCACTGAAATAATTGAAAAAAATATAAAATCAATCAATAACATATTCTTTGCTATTGTTATCATCATTTAACTTTTATAAAAGGATATTTATCTTAATGTAAATGACAGGGATGTCATCGAAGTTGTTTTCAAAATGCACTACTAGAAAAATGTGGTTGTGGTGATCCTCGTTTTCCGGTTCCGAAAGGAAAAACACATTGTTCCGCTTTTAATGCTACAGCAAGTAAATCATTCGTATTATTTTTGCATAATTCAATTAAAGAATTGAATTACTTTGAGAAAAAATCAAAGCAAAACGATATTTTTGAGCATACTTTTAAAACAATTAGCTTTATGCTTTAATTTAATTTTATTATTCAAATTAAATTAACTACAAAGTTTTGTTTGATTTGTTGACAATAACTTTGACCATAATTAAAAATTTTCGTAAATTTGTCCTTTTGATTTTCCGCGAGTTCTTATACTGTATATAAAAATATGAAAAGATATGCTTTAAATTTTTAAGATATGCTTTAAATTTAATCGATATTAAAATTCAATTTAGTCTAATTTTATAGGAGATTGCTTAGAACAAGCAATTGCTGAAATTGGTGATTTTCATCACATTATGGATAGTCTTACAAATTGTCAATGCAAGCAATCATGTGAACATGAAATTTATGGTGTCACCTTTTCTGCTTCTAAATGGCCATCCGGTGCTAGCGATGTCTGTAATTTCCTTTCCTTAATTAGTATTACAAGAAAAACTTTTTAATTAAAAAAAAATTCTTTTTTATTTTTTAAACTACTATATATAAAAATATGAAACAATGCAAAGTGTATTAAATTATAATCAGAATTAAATATATAAATAAAAAATAAAAATTAAAAATAGAATAAATGAATGGCTCATACCTAAAGATAATATCATATAATTATATATAACAAATAAAACAATAAATACATACAAAAGATCAAAGGCTAAACAAGAATATATTTGCCAAAAAAACTAAATTTTGCCAGTAAAAATATTAAGAAGAAAGACATTGTAACCTTTGACCCAGGAAATTTTTAATTTTTATTATAAACAAAAGAAACAGTTTAAAAATAGAAAAAAAATAAAAAACAAAAACCAAAACAAAATAACGAAAACAAAACAAAACAAACACCTTATTAAAAGGAAATATGCCTAAAATTCTTAACTTAAAATCAATCTTAAAATTTTCGTTTTAAAACAAATAAATTTATTGTTTAGTAAGGCCAAAATAATGTACAAAAATTTTTTAATAAATGCAAATCAAATATAATCATATTACAGTACACATATAATCCTATTATTAATAAAATTTGTTTTCGTTTATGAAATAATATTTAATTACTCATCATAATATTACATTTAATTCCCATCAAAATATTATACAACATTTACTTGCATAACATTTTAGGAGTTCAATTTATTTTAATAATTAGCACTGATAAATTATTAACACTCCAATGTGCATAGCCTAATTATTTGTTTAAATTTTTAAAGAGTTAATTTAAATTCGCTTCAATGTATTTTACAATTAATGACATTAAATTGTGAAACTAAGCATTTCAGAAGAATTTTTGAATGCAAAATTTAATTTCAAAACATTCCTTTTAATGTTGTTATGACTTATTATCATTGTTAAATAAATAAAAAAAAAAGACTAGACTATTGGAAATTTCATTTTGTACCTTTCTATTTAAAACTTTCTTTCACTTCGTCACATCAATTACTCTAAAATTCTATATAATCGTATTATAATTTATATCGATATTATATTTTGTATACCATATTATATTCTATATACCGTAATATATTCCATACACCGTATTATGCTCTATATACTGTGCTTTATTTCTTCATAATAAAACTAATTAAGTAAAAATTATTCAATTTTCTTTTTCTCTCTCTTTCTTCTTCTTCTCATCGTTAATATTGAAGAAAAAACTCACAAATATATTTTCAGGAATTTTGAGTTAATGAAATTAAGACGATAATTCTTTGTTTTAATTTAGCTATTTTTTTTAATTAATAATATTCAATTCATCTACTCATTTACTTATCCTCATGGATTATTTAGTTTGAAAAAAAATAATAAAATATATATTTGATTATCATATTTCAGCTGCGACAATCGGTAAACTTTAGTATATTTCTTTTATTCATTTATTTTTAGTGCTTTTTTTTAAAGTTTGCAACCCTTATGCATGTCTGTGGATAGTTTTGTAGGTGATACGGTAGTGATTATTAATTTATTAGAAGTAGAAGTATTGTGATTTGTTATAATTAGCATATTAATTAATGCCGATCATTTTTAACTAATATTCTTTCTCGAACATAAATTTTAGCTTGGAAATTGTGAACCAAATATGAATGAAGAAGAATGCAGGAAATTTTATAGAGAAAATGCAGCAATGGTTGAAGTTTACTACGAGCAGCTTAATTATGAATTACTAAAAGAATCTGAAGCATATGGTGTTAGTTTAATAAGTAATTAAATTCATATAACATATTGCTAATGAAGTATATGCAAATTTTCACCAACATTTTAATTATTGCATTAACAAAATTGCGATACTCTTTACTCTGTATTTTATTTAATAATTTATTTTAAATTGCTAAAAATTATTGCTAGATTAATAAATGCATAAAAAAAATTTTTTTTTTCGAAAGAAAATATCAAAAAATTTATAAACATTACGATTAATTGCGATAAATTTTAGACTTCTGACATGTTCTATATGAGCGGCAAAATTAATTAAATTATAATTTTAGCTTGTCAACTTATTAGCTGATGTTGGTGGCCATCTTGGTTTATGGATGGGTATGTTTAATTTATTTATTTTCAAATTTAAAATTTGCAATTTTTAATATTATCAGATCAGTTTCAGTTTTTTTTCTAGTATTATTAAAACTATTATTAAAACTGACTTTAACAATTTTTGCAGTAATTAATTAAGAGAGCTAAGAACTTAATTTCTACAAGACAGAAATCGGACAATTAACGTTAAATAGAAATTAAGAAAAAAACTTGATGAGATGAAATTGATAGAAAGATTAAATTTTATGGGATTTTAAGTAAAAAAAAAAAGCAAATCATATCAATTATTTCAATTCTTTTTAGTTATGCAATAAAAAATGTTAAATTTTGGAAGTTAATATGTGCAATAACAATATAAATAAATAATAAATAGATGATAGTAAGGAATACTTTTTCTCTCCTATTATGGAATAAATTTTTTAAAATTTCAGCAATTAATAGATTGATACATCCCTCTTTACTAGGCTAATAGTAGATACATATCATTATAGGTTTGATATTTCTTTATAGGTAGGCTAGTAATTAACATATATAATTAATAGACTAATACTTTCCTTTTTGTTAGGCTAAAATTAGATGATATAATTAGTCGACTGATATTTCTTAATTACATACAGTAGGCGTATACAACTAATGAATTTAATATTCATCTTTTCCAAGACAATTATTAGACTATATTTCTTCGACGCTAGGCTAAAAATTGATCTGCATAATTAATAGAGTGACACTTTATGTTTGCTAGACTAGAAATATATGATATAATTAGTTAGATTAGTATTTCTTAAACATATATATCAAGTATATATAGTTAATGGACTAATATTTCTTTTTTGCTAGGCTAATAGTAGACATATCCAATTAGTGGACTAGTATGTTTTTTTTGCTAAACCAAAAATGGACATATGTAAATTCTGAACTTTTCAAAGATATTACCAAATTAAAATTTGTTTAATTTATCAAAATATTTTCACATTTAATGAATCAATAATTGTATGAAAGTAATTAGAAAATAATTAATGGTAAAAAAAAGATGAAAGTAATAAATTAATATAAGAAATGATTTCAGGTTTCAGTGTAATAACGATAATTGAATGTGCGGTATTGTTCATTGATTTGATAACATTATGTTGTAATAGGTTGAAAGAAAGACAAGAAATTAAAAAAGGACAGTAATAGGAGGAGGAAAATGGGAAAAAAAGGAGGAAATGAAGGATGAAGAACAATACGGTGAAGTTATCCGTGAAAAAATTCCGGATGAAAATGACAAAAACGAATAATTTACTGAATATAACGAAAGATAGGAAAGCGATTCAAATTTGATAATTACAATTTAATAACTAATTTTTAACTATTAAATGGTGATAGTAATGAGACATCAAATATATTAGTAAATTTAATCCTTATTAAAGAAATAAGTGTTGTTAATTAAAATTAATTAAGAATAATTGTTGAAAATTTTAAACTCAAGACGAGTAGATATTTTTGAAGTATTTGAAATGTTGCATCATAATGAAATTCAAAATTTATTAAACAGCCATTGTTATCATTTAATATATTTACTTACTATTTGAGTAATAAGAATGAGAAATAATTAGGGAATTTCAAAGTATTCTTTCGACTTTATAACTAATTGTAAGATATGCCGATAATTAAATTTCAAATATTATATGCAATTATTGTTGTAATTAAAAATAAAAGTGATGGATGTACAAAAGAGAAAGAATAATTTTTAATTAATTAGCACAATTAACACAAATATTTTTTTAAATCAACATAAATATCCAAAAGGGAATATTTCCGAAGTTTGAAAATCATTATTAAAAATTGGTGCTTGTAAAAAATGGAAATTAGCATACCTCTAATTAAGAAGATGCAATTAAGCATTTTAAAACTTACAAAAAATATATGTATATTTTAATTGATTTCATTTATAAATATATGAAAAATTTTTCAAAGTCCCCAAGAAAATATATACTACTTATCCATGCATATGTATTTTATTCATAGTAAAATTTGCATAAAATACTTTAAATTATGTTCAACTTTGATTAATTAGGGCAATAATTTGCATAATTACGCATTTAAATATCATTTAATTGTATGAAATTTTCATTGATCAAAATTATTTCCCTTCGTCTGTTAATTGTTAAATGTGTTGAAATGATCTCATTCAATACATCATTTTGTTGTCAACTGTTAAATGATACAACAATGTTTCATGTATAAACCAATATCACTATCAAATGAAAATTATACTTTGGAAAGCTTGTAATTTTGCTAATGGAAATGAATAAATTAAAATTAAAACTAAGTAATCAACGAAATGAAAACATATTCTAAAATAAAAATCAATGTGTTTTGGATGATACATTCCTTGCAAAATGATTAATTTTCACTGAAATGACTAAAATTAATTAATCAATGGAATGAAAATTTTTTCCTAAAATGATAGTAAACGTATCGTAATTATGCATATATCACAAAACGATCAATTTTTATTTAATTTTCATTAAATGAATGATTTGATTAAATCAACTGAAAATTTTTCATAATTTAAAAATTACTAAGTAATCAAACATGCCATGATTGCTACGACAATATACATTATTAATAAAAGAATTCTTGAAAAGTTAATTAACTACTCTAATTAGAAGGCAGTTTAATTAATTTGCAAACCACTGAAATTTCTAATTCTTCCTAAACTAGACTAAATATTTATGTCATGAAATGAGGTGAATGAATGGAATTGATTGTTTCATTTGTGAAAATGCTTGCCATAGATGAATGAACTTATCTAACCTGAAATAATTTGAATATTCGACCATTAAACTAAAAGCAATTTCGTATTATTTGAATAGTTAATAATATACATTATCCAAATGTAAAATTAGCATAAATTGATGATTTAAATTTCAACAAATCAGGTCTAAACATAATATTTGAAGATTAAATTTAGTTCTTTTATTTCTAGCTTTGATTTTCATTTTTTTTACTTAAAAAAAAGGTGGCTATTTTATTTAGACAATAATTAGTACGGAAAAGCGATAGTATGCCACTTAATGAAATTAATATTTTAACCAGCAATTAATGATGTTATGTCAAAAAGCATAGGTTGATAGAATTTACTTCTCAAAAAAATAATCCAAGTTTTGAGAAAGTAACCAATGCAGAGGGAAACTCAAACCTTAGGCTACTGTATTACTACTGCATGTGAGCTACTGTATGTGAAATACACTTTGAAGTTAACTTATTCTGATACATTAACCACATTTTATCTAGGTTATACTTTAGATTGCCAATGGTTCTCCGGAATAATCAACCTGAAGAAGTTGTAAAGATTGGAAAAATACCTTTGAATGGAGAAGAATTTCTGTTACTCGAGATTTTCAATCTCGAACTTTAACCTTCTACCTCTGATTTCTTGACCTTATTTATGTGTTTCGAGGTCATATGCAATGATTGTATTCAGAAATGTAAAATTTGATACCTTAGTGAAAAGATTCTCAGCATTTGTTTATTGAGGTTATTTGGTAGAACACTTTGTTTTAGCACGCAAAAGGTCACAGGTCGTATCGACCCCTCTCGAACCTAAAACGGACATTTTCAGCTTAACATAAACCTGTGGAAGCTTCAGTTTAATTTGAAATTTGAACCTAGAGCGAGGGTTTCATTACAAAATTTGTCAAGTTAAATGAATCCTTATAAGTAAGTATTTCAAAAAAAAGGAAAAGTGATAGTGGAAAGAGTAATGATTAAAATTTTAGTAATGTTCATAGTGGTTGACATATTTTTGATCATTGACGCGTTAAAGAGAATGTTATTTTAGTGAGTAAGACGACAACATCCTTGACATTATCTTTGTCATCATTGTTATCAATCATCATCATTATTATTATTATCATCATCATTAGCATCCCAATGATCATGGATTTTATCTAATATTGTGTCTTACCTTATAGGTCGAATGAGATGTAAACAACAAACAATACACCTTTGTCAAAGTTATCGTAGTAGTATGACAAATGTGTCATAGCGATCGATCAAACCTGCACTGTTATCACTTTACATTCTTTACTTTTTTCTTTCCTTTTTTTTCAAATTTCATAACTTAAATTTCATGACTTAATTTCATAATTTAATTTTCATAACTTGATAAATTTCGTAACTTTTAAATCTCATAACTTTCCATCTTCCCTTTAGAAAAAAAAAAATTTAGATTTAGAACGAACAAAAGTTCTTTTTATTCTCTCTCTCTCTCTCTCTTGCTCTCTCTCTTCTCTCTT